CAAAAATTTTAATTTAATGTTTATATAATTCATATAACGATAAGTTATATCATATGATAAGTAAATGAAATTATTTTTACTTTTTTATAGAGACTAATTAAATGATATTAAAAAAATAAATGATAAATTTGATTTAGATTTTACACAGTATTTAATACAAACAGATCGCTATTTATAACACATGGCTTTTACATGATATTTAGTTTGTAATCTATGGTATCGTCCCATTCCTGGGTCGATACCAACCTATCGTTGAGCACAAACTAATTGTCTGATAAAAGCAATTGAAATCCGCTACCAGTTATTAATAATATTAATTTAATATTATATATTGTCATTCTTTGTACACTTTTATCGACCAGTTTTTTATATACAAAAAACTTTGCAAATATAAGTGAGATTTTAGTTGAAGTGTTCATTTCATTTCAAAACAATCAATAAGAGCTCTAAATAAGTAAAAAACTTTTCTATGATTTTGTTTTTCATCGAAGACTTGTTTTTTGGTGTTATATTTGCTGAAGACTTCCGGAGATATTTATAGCACAAGAGTTTAAAGACCTGTTTTTATTAGACCGTTGTTTTATATAAACAGCGATTTATTATTTATTTGCGATTAATTCCAGGTATTTGTCGATATATTACTCTTGATTTCGTTTTCATTTGATAACTCTTTTAATGTTTAATTAATAGTTTAAAAATGTTTAGTTTTTGTCGCTATTTTGCGTAATTTTTATTTAATTAGAAATCATACGTTACACTCATTTCAATTGCGATATTTCCTATTGTATTTGAAAATTGTGTAAATTAATCATATTTTACGTAATCACAGGTTTTTAGTTACCAAATAAAATTACTTTCATATGTTTGGGTGTTTTATATATTATTTGTAATTTTGTGCATTAAATACGATAATTTCATTTTCTGCAGGCTTTGCAATGTCTTCACGGAACAAGTCTTCCACAAAATCATTATTTATTAAATTAACATTAATATCATGTGAGTTATTGACAATTGTTTGTTTGATTCCTATATTTACAGTTAAAATATATCTAAATAATAGGTTTATTTATAACTTCAAACGCTTTGAATATATTGAAAATATCAGAACAAGATTTAAGTATTAAAATCGATGACAAAAAGACTTTGACTCTTACTTTAGAGTAAGTTTTATTCAAAACAATATTTATAACTTTTTAAATTATATTTAATTGTAATTGTATTTACAGTACGACAGCTGACAAACAGATTGCATTGAAACTTAGTTGCGATGATCCGCTGGACGTCTCTAAGTTTAATACAAGTGACTCCAAGTGTAAAGTCGTCGCCGGCTTTAACCCATTATATTATATAAAGCCGTCGGAGAAAAGTATTGACTTTGAGATAAAAGGCGTAGAACCGGGTCGACAGACAGTGATTGTCAACACAGACAACAACCAAACCGAGTAATACATGGATTAGTTGTCAATTTGAAGTGTTTATGTTTATTAATTGATTGATTTGTATACACATAGCGTTGCGGATGCGTTCATTCGTGTGAGTGTGGGTCGGAGTGCAGTGATAGATGTGGTGGGAGTAGTGATCGGATGGATGTATTTCGCCGCGTGGAGCGTCTCCTTCTACCCCCAGATGTGGATCAACTATAAGCGCAAATCAGTGGTTGGACTCAATTTCGATTTCGTGGGCCTAAACATCACCGGATTCTTGTTTTACTCGTTCTTCAATTGCGGTCTCTTTTTCTCGCGACTAATTCAGGATCAGTTCGAAGAACTCAACCCAAGGAGTGTAATACCCGTCGAACTCAATGATGTTGTCTTCGCATTGCACGCCGTCTTCGCCACAGCGATAGTCATTATTCAATGCTTTATATATGAAGTGAGTTTTGTTACGCGATATTGTGTTTGAAATATATTTGACATTTTTGTCAACGCATACAGAAAGCAGACCAAAAAGTATCTCTATTGGCAAAAGGGTTTCTAGTCATCGTGTGGTCGGTATCCGTCATATTAGCCATATTAGTGCCGACCACTCATTGGTTTAATTGGTTAACATTCCTGTATTACTTTTCATACGTTAAGTTATCCATAACTATACTTAAATACATTCCTCAGGTATTCAAATAGTTTTTTTCCTAATTTATAAATCTTTGTATTAATTGAAACTATATGTAATGCAATTTTGAAGGCCTGGTATAACTACAAGCGTAAGTCCACTACGGGTTGGAGTATTGGCAATATTTTACTTGACTTCACCGGCGGTTCACTCAGTATTCTTCAGATGTTTCTATTGGCCCACAATTACGGTATAATTAATTTCAATATTCACTTCAATTTAGTCTCATTTAACTAATTGTTTTTATTGTCCATCAGATGATTGGTTAACAATATTCAAGAATTTTACAAAATTTGGTTTAGGAATGGTTTCGATTTTGTTTGACGTCCTGTTTTTGGTGCAACACTATGTCCTCTATAGACATAGGACTGACTCCGAGACCACTCGACTCACAAATGGTCTGAATGTATGTGATATCGATAATAAAGAAGGCGTTATCAAACAAATGTAATGATAGGCTATTCAAACACTCACTCACTTATGCAGTATTTCTAACACTTAATTACTATCAAAGCTTCGTAACAAAAACAGTATTTATTATTAAATATTTAAAAATAAACTATAATTATATCTAAATATATTTAAAAAACTTTTTAAAGTATTTTACGGTACTATTTATGTCTTAACGCTTAACTTAATAATATTAACACAAACACTAGTAACTTATAAATGAAATTAGTTTTAATTAATTGCAATAAAAAATAATATTACTGATAAACTAACTCATGATTGCATGTCATATAAAATATTTTAAATGAAAAACGATAATAAAAAGCGAATAAATTATTTGTTGATTTAATTTTAAATTAAAATAACATTTCATTACAGACTTCGACAACAGATTTGGATTCTATCGAAGGAAATGAATAGAAATGATAACAAAAAAGCCGATAAATTATCTCAATTTTATGAGTAATTTGTATATAAAATCTGGTCGTCTTCTGTGATATTGTTATTACCGATAAAGAAATGACTATATTTTCAAATGTGAACAACACGTCAATCAATGCCTTAAATTATAATTGCATTTATAAGTGAAAGTCGTAAACCCTTGAAAGGCCTCTGAAGTCCACAATAATAAAAACTTTGTGATAAAAAAGACAATTTTTATTTACATTTTGTTTATAACACTATTTTTAAGGTTTTTTATAAAATCTATGCGAGAATACATTGTTTTATAAAATCTTATCCTTTCAATGATAACGTTTCGATTACAGCATTTCTCATGTAATTACAGTTTTATAATAATTATAATATGAATACATCTTTTAAATAGTAGACACAAAATTTTAAAATACCATAATTTTAAACATTTGTTTTATATAAAAGTTTTAATTTAATTTAAAATCTAATGGGAATTAAATTTTCTTTTGTACATTAATTAATAGTAATTGAAAACTGTTTTATACACAACAAAAATAAAATAAAATAATACTTCGCCTCATATTTGATATATACTTATATTTTAATACAATTTATTTTTATTTTCAATGAATTAAATTCAATTTCAGTGATTAATATGATATTCTATTATAAACCCAACAGTTTTCAAAGTGATAACTTTAAACACTGAATATAATATTTTATCAGATTGTTATTAATTGTATAATTAATTAATTAACCCCAAAAAATTATTAATAATTTTGTTCTTCAATTTTCTCACAATATTTTACTTAAATATTCATTTTCTCAATCGCCAGACGAATAGACTATTAATTACTTTTTAATTAATTAATATAATTTTTAATTCAAATACTATTAAATAACTTAAATATTAATCATAACTTTAAATCTCTGAATCGGTTTAATACAAAAAAAAATTAATACCAAAATTGAGAAATAATTATTCACTTAATTGTCATTTCATTGATACTACTCTTTACAATCGGTAGTATTTTTATTAATTATATCATTAGATTCGGTGAATTGTTTTTGTGCCTCCAGTTCTTCATAAGTGGGCAGTTTGTCGTCAATCATGAGTTTGACGGGTTCTTCATAGAGACAGAGATACTTGAGATCACTTCCCTGTCCCACCTATTGGCCAACAATACGATTATACATTTTGTCCGATAATTATATTGTATAAATAATATATACCTTTCGGGCTCTGATATGTTGTTCGGGTGCTGTAGTAGTGGTCGCACAACAGATCCAAACCAAGACAAACATGGCTAAGAAGAGCACTGACGCCAATACCCAACGCGGAACTCCCGACTCGTATGGGAAACAATTGGACCAACTCTTCTCCACGTGTCTACTAAAGTGGTGTAGATTACCTAAGAGAACACAGGTTTACCTCTGTAGCTCAAAACCGGCTAACAATAGGCAACAATACACAAGAAGTGATGGTCAGTGACTAAGCGACAGCATAAGATAGTTATGTAAGTTACAAATTATATTAATTCATATCATATAAGAGAACATTCAATATAAGAAACCATTCAAAAAGTGTACAAAAGAGATCATTCAATCACATCCTCACATCTTATGCATTGATTCACAACTAAATTATAATTCATTTCTATAACTAAAGAATTTATAAGAAAGGTTTCTATGAGAATATTCGCATCTATACTATGAGATGAGTATAATTAAAGTAAGACATTAATAGTGTTCACTATAAGTGGTGAAAAAGTGTGTGAGAATTGAGTTATTCAATTCAGTTATTGTACAAACCATTGATTCTCTCTATTCATTAGTTTGTAGTAAAATGTAATTCAATTTATTCTGAATTTTAATGCAATCAATGAATTCGTTATCAAAATAATGGACTGAATTGTGAGTATTATATTTCACCACATCTAATGGATTCTCTTGTGTCCAAATGGAGACATCGAGTTTTGGCCGATTGTTATCCGTTGTTATGTGTTCTTCACTACCAGTCACTGATTCGCTGTCGTATTCTATCAATACATTCAATACATTCATACAAATTGTATTAATTCATATCATATAAGAGAACATTCAATATTAGAAACCATTCAAAAAGTGTACAAAAGAGATCATTCAATCACATCTTCAGATCTCATGCATTGATTCACAACTAAATTATAATTCATTTCTATAACTAAAGAATTTATAAGAAAAGGTTTCTATGAGAATATTCGCATCTATACTATGAGATGAGTATAATTAAAGTAAGGCATTAATAGTGTTCACTATAAGTGGTAAAAAAGTGTGTGAGAATTGAGTTATTCAATAAGATTCAGTAACTTATTGTACAAACCATTGATTCTCTCTATTCATTAGTTTGTAGTAAAATGTAATTCAATTTATTCTGAATTTTAATGCAATCAATGAATTCGTTATCAAAATAATGGACTGAATTGTGAGTATTATATAATGTACTAAAAGAGAAGATATAATAAATGTTTAAATGGTATGAAGTGTTGGTCTGAGAAGATTTGAGGCGTTAGAGAGTAAGGGTTTATGTGATTGTCGTGTAAAACAATAGACATAAAAATAGTGTTCAGTTGTATATAAATAGCGTGAATGAAATGGATTCGAGAAATACATTTAGGATTAGATTCAGTAGAAAAGTATGTGAGAGATAACTACTGACGAAATCCTTTGAACAAAACTAAGTGCAGTCGACGTATACTTCAATGCAATCAATAAAAAGCGAGAGAATAAAGTAAAAAATGTTACATTAAATCCATGGAAGAGTGAAATAGTGTGTAAAATGAAAGACGATTGCTGTGAAAGAGATGCGAATATTCTCATAGAAACCTTTCTTATAAATTCTTTAGTTATAGAAATGAATTATAATTTAGTTGTGAATCAATGCATAAGATGTGAGGATGTGATTGAATGATCTCTTTTGTACACTTTTTGAATGGTTTCTTATATTGAATGTTCTCTTATATGATATGAATTAATATAATTTGTATGAATGTATTGATAGAATACGACAGCGAATCAGTGACTGGTAGTGAAGAACACATAACAACGGATAACAATCGGCCAAAACTCGATGTCTCCATTTGGACACAAGAGAATCCATTAGATGTGGTGAATAGTAGACACGTGGAGAAGAGTTGGTCCAATTGTTTCCCATACGAATCGGGAGTTCCGCGTTGGGTATTGGCGTCAGTGCTCTTCTTAGCCATGTTTGTCTTGGTTTGGATCTGTTGTGCGACCACTACTACAGCACCCGAACAACATATCAGAGCCCGAAAGGTAT